CAAAATGTTGTTATATTATTCTATCACATATTTGCATCTTCACTACTAGACTCTTTGATGTTTTGTGTTTCTTGACTACAGTCACTACAGTATTACTTTAACTAGTACACTTTGTTCCATGGGTTTATGTATACCACTCTACTATTTTTAAGTTGTAGCTAGTATTGTACTTGTTGCAAGGATTTGGTGAACTTCTTACAAAATATGGAAATTTATAGTCAGTTCTGACTAGAACACATAACCACACTTTTTAAAGTAATTAAGTGGTTGTGTCGGCGTGATATTATTTACAGCATGCATTATAGCCAACTCTGTATAAGCCTGTGAAAAATGTTCATCTAACTTTAGGGTTTGTTTCATTTGATTAAAACAGTATTCACAAGTGTTGAGGTGAGGTGAGTAAGGTGGTTGGTAAACTAGATTCACACCTTTAGCTCCTAGTATGTGTCGAAGTGCTTGCTCTGTTATATGCCCATGGTGAAAACCGCAGTTATCCATGATAACAGTGTCTCCATTCATAAAGACTGGTAGTCCATTTTGTCTCTCACAGTCCAGWGCATAACTGAAGAATGCAACTAACTCTTCTCCATTCGATGCTCCAGGTATGACATTGTAATAATCCACTCCAAGTATACTATGAAGCAAATTAACCGTGAATGTTGCATTCGACGCATACCTTTGAATTTCAATTGCTCGATAACCTTTGAAGCTGCTGCCATATAAACGATTAGACGTAGTCTTAATAACGGACGACTCRTCAAAGAAGTKAAGGGTTGATGGATCTAGCCGACTTGTAATCTCTAAGTAATCATCAACTTTGTATTCATTGTTATAATATTCAGAGGGGACACTTGTGATTTTCTTCCACGACATATCAAGCTTTGTTGAAARAGCACGGTTTATTGCTGACACAGATGGTGCTGTAGACCAATGACAAATCCCTTCAAGTATGAGCCTATCCTTTATCTCAGAAGCATACAAGGATGGTTTCTGATGCTTCCAAACCTCTACGACCTCCAGAATATCATCTGTCAAAACAACAGGCTGCTTACCGCTATGACCTAACGGATTGACAGADCCATACCGACGATAATGTTCGATGACATTTGTTACACAACGAAAAGTTACGCGGAGCCGTTCAGAAACTTCCGTTTTTGTGAGTCCGCCGTTAAATAATTCTATAATGTGTTGTCTTTCAGCAATTGATAAAGGTTTTCCTGGGGTGTACGGCCTCTGAAGACTATTCACCGCCGCCATTTTTTTTAAAATATACAACGTACTGTTTATTATTGGAATAATCCAATCAGGAATCGAGGTTCAAATCGACGTCACATTTGAAATTTACATTGTCGGTTTTGTTTTTGCACGTTTAAATATAAATTTGGAACCAAATTTGGAATAATAAATCGAGCCTTCCAACCTCGATAGGAACGCTTCAGTAGGTTTGGCTGTAAACATTTATTAGCTGATGGTTTCGTACATTATGTAATTTCTCATCTATTTTTTCAATTCTTCACTTTAGTTGAAGCGTATTTTCAATAAACGTTGGAAATTTAGCTGTGACGTGGTTTTTTGATTCCTGCCCCGATATCTACATGCACTGATGAGAATGTTGTGGATGATTGTAAGCATTGTTTTTATAGTGGAAGCACTGGTCCAAAGGTTGTCGAAAAAGAGAAGGTGGACGGGAGCAATCGTCGGGAAACGGCAGGAGGTTACAACTGCGGGACAAGGAGTAGCCTCACAGGAAGTCAACGCAACAGGCAAGTCCCTTATATTGCGTAATATGTGAAACTGAACAGTCTCATGAGAGACCATTGATGCAATGTTCTGGTTGTAAAAGTGTGAATTATTGTAGTAAGCAATGTCAACAGGCCCATTGACCTGGACATAAAACTGTTTGTGATGCTATTCAGTTCCTGGAAAAGAAAGAAGAAATGCAGACTGAAACTAACAAAGACTCAAACATTTTTGTGTCACATCTTACCCCAAAACAACATGCTGCTGTTGTAAAATTAGTTGGTGAAAAGTGCAAGATACGCTGTGTTATTGAGGGTTTGGAAACTGAAGYATTATGGGACACAGGTGCACAGGTGTCAATGCTCCCCAGGGGTTGGACCCAAAAAGTATCAAAGCAGTGGTGGCCCTCAAGAACTCAAAACCAGGGACTGTTGGAGAGGTGAGACAGCTTGTAGGCTTGCTAAGCTATTACAGAAGGTATATCCCGAATTTTGCAAAGAAAGCGAAACCCATCTATGATCTGATAACTACAACAACCTGTGATACAATCAAGAAGAAAGGACAGCTTCCGTCAAAGACCCCAGTGYGTTGGAACGATCACAGTCAAAAGTCACTTGAGAYACTGATTGAACATATAACTAACCCACCAGTGATGGCCTTCCCTGATCATACGTTACCTTACGTTGTACACACGGATGCAAGCACAGAAGGACTGGGCGGTGTCCTATGTCAGGAACAAGAAGGAAAACTCAGGGTCATAGCTTATGCTTCCCGAGCTTTATCAGCAGCAGAAAAGAAGTACCATGCAGGAAAACTGGAGTTCTTAGCTCTAAAGTGGGCGATTACAGACCAGTTCAGAGATTACTTATACTACTCCCCAAGGTTTACCGTTCTTACAGACAACAACCCTCTGACTTACGTGCTGACATCCGCAAGACTCAATGCAACAGGACTTCGCTGGGTTGGAGAACTCGCTGATTTTGATTTTGAGATAAAGTACAGACCAGTAAGATCAAATGTAGACGCAGATACGCTGTCAATACAACCACTCAGCATATACCAAATGATGCAGGAATGTAGCGAGAGGGTCGACAAGAATGTCTTGAGCACTATTGTTTCAACCGTACAAGAAGGTAGTCGTCCTCAAACAGCATGGCTATCATCAATGTCAGTATTACTAGAAGAGAAGTGCCAAGAAAGCTCAGGAATAAAGTTTACGTCGAACTCCATGAGAATATGGGACACTTGGGACCAGACAGAGTAATAGAATTAGCAAGAGAAAGATTTTATTGGCCCTTTAKGAGATCAGATATCAATCATTATGTCACCCAAGTATGCCGTTGCCTCAAGCAGAAGCGTCCAGCAAAGCRGACAAGGGCACCCWTGCAAYCAATCATAACAACAGCACCGTTTCAGCTAGTTTCTATGGACTACCTACACCTTGACCAGTCAAGCGGCGGATACCAGTACATCCTAGTGATCATGGATCACTACACCCGTTTTGCACAGTCATATGCCACTCGTGATAAATCCGGAAAGACTGCAGCGGAGAAACTATATAACGATTTCGTTCTCAGGTTCGGGTTCCCCGAGACGATCCATCATGATCAAGGCAAAGAATTCGAGAATAAACTGTTTTTCAATCTTGAAAAACTATGTGGAATTCAACATTCTCGTACAACGCCTTATCACCCCGAGGGCAATGGACAAGTGGAAAGATTTAATAGGACACTGTTATCGATGTTAAGAACACTTCAAGAGTCACAGAAATCACGCTGGCGAGACCACTTAAACAAAATGGTACACGCGTATAACTGCACCCGTAATGATTCAACCGGCTTTTCTCCATTTTACCTCTTATTTGGAAGAAACCCAAGATTACCAATCGACCTGATGTTTGGCTTGAAACCACCTCGTGGTTACTCTACTTACCCAGAGTATGTAAAGAAGTGGAGAAGTGCCATGTCCGAAGCATACAAGATTGCGTCATCAAATGTAGACAAGAGTGCGGAGTCAAGAAAGAAACAGTATGACAAAAGAGTGAAGCATGCTGTTCTCCAGGAAGGGGACCGTGTTCTTGTGCGGAATCTCAGCGAACGTGGTGGTGCAGGGAAGTTACGATCCTTCTGGGAAGATAAGGTTCATGTTGTTCTTGGGAAGAAGAAAGACATGCCAGTATATGAAGTTCAACAGGAGAACCGAGACAAAGAACCAAGAGTACTTCACAGGAATTTATTACTTCCTTGTTCACACCTTCCAACTGAGCAAGTTCAAATACATCAGAAAAGACACCGTAAGAAGAGTCAGAGTCACCGACCACAGCGTCCCACAAGAAAGACCAACAAGGTACATGTATCTAACGAGACGGAAGATGGCACACAAGATGATGACGAGTTTGRYTTTAGTCCTTTGGCACTGGAAGCACTGTATGGAGCTGGGGATAACCTCGAAGTTGAGCCAGATGAGGCTGAGATAGAAAGTGTTGCAGGATCAACCTCATCGATGCAGGAGGACCCAGACCCAGTTGAAGACACAGATGTCAGGGACAATGTTCAGAGAAGACCACAACGCATCACACGACCTCCGAACAGGATAGCATATGATTACCTGGGACAGCCATCTATTCAACCAGTTGTCAACGCTGGACTCCAAKGTGTTACGGTGACACCACAGCAGTGGCAAGTTCCTCCACACATGTATCCATGGTATTCCCCACCTTGGAATTGTATTCAACCATGGATG